GGACACTTGTTCCTTTGTTCTCTGGAATAGAACTTTCTCAGAACTTCCTCGTGGACCCACCCCAGCCCTTTGAGGAAAGCCTCCCTGCTCCACGTACCGCTCGTTGCAGCAGTCTCTGGCCACTCCCAGGTCCTTGCCAGACCCAGCCACTTTCTCCTGGCTCTTGCCTCTCGTTTCTCCTTTCTGCATCCGCTCTAAAGGGTGGATGCAGGGAATGGTGCCTGTGTCCCTCTCTTCCCTCAAGGACACGGCACCTTCCAGTCCCATGTGGACCTCGCCAGGCATTCTGGGATAGCCTCGTGTCCACTGCCTGTTCTGAGAGGGCCACCTCTCAGCCCCCTCTGACCAATAGGGGTGGTTTCCGTCTGTCCTGAGTGCAGCGCCCATCTGAGCTATAGGCAATGCTGCTCCTTCTTTTCCTGGACAGTTCCTGCAGATGTGGGGAGAGATACCAAGCCAGGGTCTCCATTGTGCCCTGGTAGTATATGCTAGAGTGCTTTCTTCCCTGGAAAGTCATGGAAGGTGAGGGCTCCTTCTGTTCCCATCTTCAGATTTAAATGGAAGCTCTTATCAGGAGGCTGGAAGTACTCCTGAGGTGGGGGCAGAAAGGTTGTGGAATCACAGAAAGGGCAGAAAACCTCTCACTGAAAAGATCTTCAAGGCCTGGAACTGCACAAGCGAGACCAGGTCTGCAGGCTGCCACCAAGCCTGCAGCTCACATGACATTGCCCAAGGGGAGCAGAAGGGCCAGGGCAGCTGGACTTGGCCACCAGTTCGGGCACCTAGTAAGAGCCTGGAACAGCCCTCAGGGAGGGGCGGGGGCTGAACAAGCAGGGCTGAGGAGGATCGAAGTGACTGATCTCCGCACCACACACGCAGGGTCAGCCACTGACTGGGTAGTAATCCAGTGTCCCCGCCTGCCAGCTGTCAGGTGCATTGTGGCAGCCCGGACAAGGGCTCGTCATGGACACCAAGGTGGGTCACCACAGCCCTCTGCTGTGGGGCTCGCATGCCTGGGACTTTGGAGGGGACAAACAGCTCAGCAGGGAGCATAAGTCTGGAGGCAGCATCTGTCCCCAGCCCTGGGGGTCACAGCCCCACATAGGGCGAGCTGAAGCCTGAAGGGGAGCTGGTGTTTGAGGTGAAGAGCCCCAGGACCTGGGCCCCAGGTGGACACAGAGCTGCGGACAGGAGCCTGCAAAGTGCAGCAAGCGGGGTCCCTGCGGTGGCAGCTTCCGGGCTGCTTCTGTTGGGAACCGCGATGGCAGAGATGTGTGCTTCTAGAGAAGAGACATGGCAGGACCTGCCCAGTCACTGGAGAACACGAGGAAGCTCCCGGAACTGAACTTGGAAGAGAGACATGGAACCAGCCCATCCCGTCCTCCCGGGACTCACTGCCCAGTAGAATTCATGTCATCTGCACGTCACAGCCAGGGGCTCCGACCATCTCCCCTCACTGCTCATGACCATTTCAGGACTGGGCTATTGTTTTTTTCTTTGTTGTGGTTGTTATGTACCAGGATTAAAATCACAACTTCCACACTGAATTTACATCTTCGGACCTTTAGCATTTTGTTTTTTAAAAAATTGATTTGAGTCAGGTCCTCGCTGTTATGGTTTCTGTCTAGTTGTCTCCCCAAGCCTCATGTAGTTAAGGGGTGGCTTCTAGAGTTTGTGATTAATTCATGATCCAATGCTGGGATTATGGGTATGAGTGCTATACCTGCCCTGGGTTGGGTAATCTGAATTTCAGTGTATGGAGGGGAAAGAGGCCTGCCAGCCACCTCCGCTGCTACTCCTCCCTTTGCCTTTGCAGTTTTCCACCACCAAGAGCTGTTGCCCTGTGCCATGTGCCACTCTGCCTTGGAGCTGGCCACGTATGGACTGAAACCTTCACTATGAGCTAAGAAACCTTACCTTCCTTAATTTTGGGTTTCAGATATTTTGTCCCAGCAATGAGACACTCCCTAAGCTGTCCAGGCTGAACCGAGACTTGCAGTCCTCCTGCCTCAGCCTCCCAGGTTGTTGGGAAGTGTGCATCACCATATGTGGCCATTTCCTTCTTTCTCTTTGTGTCCTTCCCAGCCCACCTTAGCCCTTCCTAGTACCCACCTCATCCCCCAAACTCAAGGGAAGCACCAATGTTTGTGCAAGAGGCTGGACATGGAAACACCTTTGAATGCCTGTGTAGGTCCCTATCAAATGATGTCTCCTTTATCTCATGTGGCCTAGCAGCATCCTCCACAACAAGTCAGTCCAGTGTCCTCAAGGACAGCAGTGCCTATAGTGGACAGGGAGGGGGCCACCCTGTCAGCCTGAGGCCACCTTGTGTTGGGTCCACAGGGACTCAGCAGACCAAGTAGGCACTGACCTGAGCAGTTCACTTGCTTCTCCACAGGGCCACATATGTGGCGACCTTGGTCTTGTCAACTTTACAAGCCAGGCTCAGTGCAAGCATCCTCTCTTCCCATCACACCATGGGGCCAGCTGCATTGGACCCTGCTGGACTCTCTAGGTGGGGACAGTGGGCTCCTGACACCTGGGTTAACTGTAGAAAGTGATCAGCAAGGAGTAGGGTTTCTCAACATGCCAGTGCCTGGGGACAGGGCCATTGTGGCCATGCATGGGAGGTCATCACTAACAAAGTCACTATCTGGGGCATCCTGTCCATACACCCCCATTGTACCCTAGAAACACTAGGCTGACACTGGAGGTGTGGTGACAAACCTGTTCTCCCTCTAGCTCGTTGGTGGCAGGAAAGACTTTCCACTAGGCAGGTACGCATTTTTTAAGCACTATATGGGTGTCATGTGAGGATGAACTTTTATTTTGACATCAATGTACAACTCCTTTGGAAACTAAAAAAATAAAATAATAGAAACCCATGATTTCACTGTCAGAGAAAAATTTTTCTGTGATGTCTCCAACGACTACCACCCGCCCCCATGCCATGTCTTGTAACTGTCATCAGCTCTGTGAGAACGAGAAGAGACCCGCTTATGTTTGCAGGTGCTGAGGGGAGAGTGCAGACTCCTGGGACCTTGAGGTTGTGCTGCGTCAGTGGGGTCCCTGGATCACAGCCGCAGACTCCTGTCCAGGACGTGCTGGCCTACTGCTTCCCAAGCCAGATGTGGGCCGCTAGACCCTAGGTGCTTACGCGGGCAGCCACACTGACTCTGGGGTAAATCTCAGGACCAGGAGACTTCATTGACCTGACCCCAGTGCCCTCTGGAGTGGCAAACCCAGAGAGAGATGGAGTTTGTGCAGAAACTGGATCTGGGGCCCCACCACGCAGCCGTGGGATACGCAGAGACAGCTGGGTGCACGCTGTGGAGGGAGGGACATCCCACTCCAGGCAGCCCCTTCTGCTGTATTGTTCATGGGAACAGAGCAATCTGGACCCAAGTCCTATGTCCTTTCTGGAACCCCTTCAAGTGTACAGTCCCACTGACCTTGGCCCTGGCAGAGAAGAGGGTGAAGAAAAGCCAATGGATTTTATGTTATCACTTTTACTTCAACTATTTATCCACAGTAACACTGTATATTTTGCAAATGAACAATACAGAGGAGTTTGGCCTCACATGACTGGCGCCAGGTGACATGCAGTACAATTCGTCTCGTCCTCGTCAGAATGTGTCCTTAACTGAGAGACACAGGCCCTTGAGCCCAGCTTTAAGGAAGGTGAAGAGGTCAGCAGACAATGAACCCAGGTGGCCTTCACTGGCCTGGCTCGACCAGATGGGACACACCCAAGCTGTCACTGCACTCTCTGAGCTCATGGCTGAGAAAGAAATGCTACCCTGGGAGGACAGGGCTGGGCAGTGCAAACCGTGCTGTCACAAAAGGCTAAACTCTGGATTCCTGGGTTCATTCTCTGTGGAGATAACAAAGTGCTTTCTGCAGATCTGCTGGTACGGTGACCTCAGTGACATGACAGAGGGGGATGAGGAGGGAAATCAGGGAATCCCCAGCTGGCCAGCCAGGGCGATACGGCCAGAGCTGGCTCTGCTCTCCTGCTGCCTTGCAGCCCCAGCTTGCACGATGTCCCCAGACGTGGAGCCCAGTGGCTTGCGGAGTTGCCGCCTGAGCAGGGCCAAGGGCAGTCCTCAGTCCCGAGGCTTAGGAGCACAGCACTGGTGGCCGCAGTGGCTGGAAAGGCTGAAACTGCAAAGGGTGGCCTGTGGGTGACTGAGAACAGACCTAGTGCGGGTGGGGGTTGGGAAGCGCACCCTCCAGGGAGCACATAGTGTCACCACAACACAGACGCGACAGGAGCATAGCTGAGACTCATGTGATGCTTGGGCAGCTCACAGGACCAGGAGAGGCAGTAGGGACTTTGCCCATCAAGGGACAGGTGGACGGTGGTCAGGGTCCCCTGGGTGGCCATGGCGATGACATGGGGAGAGGCTCACTGAGCACAAGGCTACATGGAATTGATCACTGCTACCACTCTGGACACAGCATGGGACACACACGGGTCCCCACCCTGGGCTGCTCAGCAGGTGCCAGCCTTTGTGAGCCTCAGCACTTCCAGGGGCTGCTCTCAGGGTCCTGCCTGCTGGGCAGGGGAAGGGCCAGGCTGAGGGTGCTGTGATGTTGGGCAGAGGATGAGTGGGTCACAGGCAGGGTGGAGATGGGGCCCTGTGGTGGGCACAACCCTCTGGGGAACAGCATGGGTGCACTCAACCAGATGCAGAGACAGGAAAGTGCGAATGGGGCTCACAGTCAGTGTAGCTCGGAACAAAGTGTCAAAGGAGGTTGCGACTAACGTCCTGGGACAACTGGGTCTTAACTAACTGTCCCCACCTGCTACTGAGAGGTGACTGTGTTTCATCTAGACATTCACCTGAATTACAGCAATTATAATACTGGTTATTTAGGATAGTATCTGTTAATAAAATAAGGATTTATATAAAGCAGCTCGAGAACTTTAGACAGGTACTATGTACTTGGCACAGTCAGTAATGATGGTGTAAGATTTCAGTCAGTCCTATAGGGACATTTATTTAGTATGAAAATATGGAAGGATTTGAATGTTCCTGGCAGGGAAGTTTTTGGTCTATTTTCTCACACACTCATCTAAGTACTGTCTTCCTATCAAGTGAGTGGAGGTCGTTGGATGGTCTCTATTGCTAATGTTGTGTACTGAAACGTTTGTCTTTCACACACAAATACTATCTATACAGCATATATATATATATATATATATATTTATATATTTATATTATATAAAGTTTACTTACGTATTTTCATCAACCATATCAGGTCTAAATTTTTTTTTTTTTTTTGCCCATTGTCAATAACAGAGCAATAATGCAGCAAGTTTGGGGTTTTGTTGTGTTTTGTCTCTGTTCTTTAAAAATACCTCATTTCTTCTTTCTCTATGCTGGGTTTTCATATACGTGGGGCAAGAGGGCGCCGAGCAGAGGGCTGGTACACGGCAGTCCCTGTATGCTCAGCTGGCGGCCGCTGGAGGCTGAAGGTAGCTGCTCAGCCACCCTTGGCACCAGGGAAAAGGAGCCAGGGCACGCAGGCCGCAGCAGGCAGGTGTCTGTCCCATGGCAGGTGGGCCCGTGGGCTCTCGGTGCCATCTTGGCTGTGAGGGGCCTGGGGAGCTGGAAACAGAGGTGCCCCGGGCAGCCCCTAGGTGGTGTGCGGCGGTTCTGGGGAGGCCAAGCCCCCATCCTGGCTGTCTACACAATTGTGCTGATGCCGCTGGGCTTGGCTTTGCTGCTGGCTGGGGGTGGCGGGGCGGGTGGCTGCCCATGGTGGTGCGCTGCATGGGCCACGTGGCCAGTGTGGGCTCCAGGCAGTGGTGGGTGGCCATGGGTGTGGGTGCTGAAGGCAGGGTGCCCACTGTGGGGGCCGTGGTGGTACTGGTGGGTGTGCTGGATGTGTTGGGGTGGGTGGTAGTGGTGGTGGTGGTGGTAGGGGGGTGGGTTCTGCTGCAGGTGGCAGTACTGGGCGTGATGGGCATGCGCCGGGCCCTCCATGGACCCTGGGTGGTGCTGTGGGTGGGGGGGCAGTGGGGCAGGGCCAGAGGGCGGGTGGGGCTGGGGAGGGGGCTTCCCTCGTCTGCTCCCGAACAAGGAGCCCAGGAGGGAGGAGGAGTTGGGCATGGTCTGGTGTGGGCGAGATGGACACTCTCGTGTTGATGTAGCTCTTCGGCGCATGTGAGGACTGCTAATGATGGAGCCCTAAAAAGGAAATTCATAGAAATCAAAATTAAAAGATCTTACAGCATGGAGGTCAGAATGATTTTCTTTCTCAATGAAAAAGATCCCCCACTGACTGCTAAGGCCTCAATACTGCTCATGGGCCGCAGAGGGAGTAGAGGGGCTGGACGCAGGTGACCTCTGTAGGGGTGGGCAGCAGAGGAAGCACCTCCATTCCGTGCCACAGTGCACATGCGCTGTGATCACTGTGCTGGGTGCCTGTCTAAGGGTTCAGGTCTCAGAGATGGGGGCAGAGAGGAGAAGTGTCTGTGGGAAAGCAGTCTAGCTCCAGCTGTCTTTGCAACCTGATCATGCCTGGGGCTTATCCACAGGGCTGGGGGTGTTGGCTCTGCCCATGTGGGGGCCTAGAGGTGCCTAAAGGGGTCGTGACACGGACGGGGGACCCTGTGGCCTTGTCCATGGGGGTGTGGACTGCCTAGGCATTTCGCTGCAGCTACCTACTGCAAGCCAAATGAAGAAAAGGAGAAAAAGAAAAAGATCTGCCAGCTGAGGCCAAGATAGGACAGTGCTGGATGGGGAGGATGAATGAAATCTCATGAAATCCACACTGACTTTCCTCTCTCAAACACTGCCCTCCCATGGGCTAGCTAAGCAATTCCATGGTGTCTTGACTGCAGACACAGCCAGCCCAATTCCAGGAAGGAAGCAATGGTGCGGCCGGGCGCAGAAGCCGCATGGGGCAGACACATCCCACAGCCAGTGGAGAGGCAGTGACGGCGGGGTAGGGACCCCAGGGTGGGTTCAGGAAGCTGGGGTAGTTAACCATGCTCAGGGACCGCGGGGATAAGGATTAAGCAAAACGAAAACACAAAGTCCAGAACCACCCCCCCACTGGTGGGTCCAAAACAAGCGGTGAGAGGCGTGGATGTTGGAGGCAGAGAAGCCGCATGCACGGGGCTGAGGCAGGCAGGGTGGGCTGGATCTGCCTGTCTGTGCAGGAGGGGCAGAGCAGGACAGACAGACGACAAAGAGAACCAAGGATGGGGTGACACAGGACAGCCAGCCAGACGGGGTGCTTCCTACTTACTTCCACATTGCTCTCTAGCGATCCCGCACTGCTGCGACGCCCTCGCTTCCCTGCCCAGAACATGCAATACCAGAGGTTAGACACGCACGCCAGGCTGGGTGCCGCCTGCCTGCCTGCCTGCCTGCCTGCCGGCCACTGCCACTGAGCAGGCACGGGCTGGGCCCGCCTGCTCCACGCCAAGTGCTTGGTGAGGCCTTCAGGAAAAATGTTTCAAGCCAGCCCCAGCTTTCTGCTCCTTGTCCTGTACAGCAGGCCGCTGCCACGAGGGATCCTGGGGCAGGGACATGTGCACTTCTATCTGGCCGGCCACAGCTGTGTGCAGAAGGGAAGGTGCAAGGTGGCTTCTCGTTCGCCACAAGCACCCAGGCTGGCCCAGGCCCTGACTCCATGAATATATATATATATATATATATATATATATGCATACATACACATACACACATATATATGCCCATCTTGTGGCAGAGCAAGGTGGTTAGAGGAACTAAACCTCTCTGGGGCCTCTGGGCTTAGTTCCATTTGTGCAGTGCCCTGGCTGGGGGCAGGAGATGATGGGGCCCTTGCTCCTCCCCTCCTGGCCCCCCTCCCAGATGTAGCACAGTGTTCCTGGAGCCAGAGGGGTCCTGCAGGTACACAAAGGCACTCAGTATGTGCTGCACGTTCGGGTCTCATAGGCACTGGTCCACCAGAGATAGGCATCAGAGAAGGGCCGAGGCTGTGACAGGCAGTGATGGATGACACGGTTCCCATAGCAACCATCACTGAGGCTCAGAGCAGTGTTCCCTCACAGGGGCTGGACATCTTGGCCACACTGCTGCTGATCTGGCAGCAAGGCTGGGCTGCACCTGGGCCTTGGGGTCATAGGAGGTCGCCTCAGGTTCTCAGGCATCCCGTGCCCCAGCTTCTCAGGCAAATGCTGCTGCTCCTCAAAGTCAGACCAAGGCACCTAGAAGTGTCGGGTAAGGAGTGTGTGGGAACTTCAGGCTTCGTCACCATCAAATGAGCAGCTAGGACAGCCATACCGATGGGGGAAGTCCAGCGCCTTCATCCTGCCTGCTGAATCCCAGGGAGGCTCCAGGGTCACAGATAGCTGTAGGCGGAGCATTTCCAGTGCTGCCACATCCTAGACACAAGCAGGCCCCTGGTCCCTGTGTCCTCTTCTGTCCACAAGTGAGAAACAGGCTGCCCTTTCCCAGTGATGTATGGAGATAGGGACCAGGCTGAATCCAGGCCTCCCTGAAGCAGGTTCCAGACCTGTTTTCACTTCCATGAAACCGGCCTGTCTTCTCCCCACCAGTCTCCTGGACAGGATCCTCAGGACACTGTACTGCCACATGGAAATGCTGACAGTCTGAGCACTCCTGTCTTTGGTGTTTGGTTATTTACTGAAGTTAGGGGACTGAAGCCAGGACCTTTGCATGGTTTTGCCAAGTTGCCCAGGCTGGGATTGAACTTGTGTCCTCCTGTCTTAGCTCCCCAAAGTGCTGAGAGTACAGGTGTGCCCCACCATGCTCAGCTCTGCAGGGTTTTAAAATCTGCTCTCCCGCCTTGAAAGGGTTGGTGGACTCCTGCCACTGACTGAAAACCAGGCACAGAGCACAGCCAGCTTCTTGTTCCTGCTTTCCCCATTTTTGTCCACCTGCTGAGCTTGGCAGTCTGGGGCCAAGCAGCACAGCTGGCCTTGGGAGTGAACAAAGGCCTCCCTCCTGCTCCTTCTTCTTTGCCCACAGTTAAGCAGACAATGGGACCTTTAAATGGGCTCAGAGTTGTGTTTCCAAAGTGTGATTTTGTTGGCCCAGGATGTGGAGGGAACTCCACCCTCATAGGCACATCCAGCACGCCTGGCCAGCAAGCCCTGCTGGCTTGCTGGTGCACAAACTCAACCAGAGGCTTCATCTGCTGCATGCTGTGCATAGGCCCTTCTCTGTAACCTTGCAGGATCCGAGGTGGGGAATGGTGCCTTCTTGGATCAGGTCAGACCTGGCACCCACTCCTCATAGTCTGGGCTACTGCAACAGGATGGGACGCAGGTGTAAGGTCCTTGGTCTATGCCACCCTTGCTGGGCTTGGCAGCCACAGCTGGTTCTGCACGCTCTGCACACATCAGCCTTGCACACTGCTGTGGGGACACAGCCTTGTGGGCTGGGTTGGGATGCTGGACATCAGAGCTTGGCCTGAGGCAGGTCACGGTGGCTGCAAAGGATGCTTTGTCCACCCACCCTTAGTGTCATCCGTGCCACTAGCAACCCCGGGGACATCCTCTCCATGGGGCCTTGTGCTTTTCAGCTTAGTGGAGGAGGTGCAGTGGGGTCAACAACCTGTGTAGCATTCACCGTCACATGACTGAGCTGGGGTGGGCACTGAGGTCTGGTTACACCTGGCTTTTGTGCCCCTGGGTCAGAGACAAATGCTGAGGCAGAGCCCAGTGTCTTGCCCTCTCCAGTTTGGAGCCACAGTGGCTCCTCCAGGGAGCCAGCAGTTCACGTGGGGCTCAGGCTGGGTCCTCCTATGTTGTCTCCTGGATGGATGTGGACCAGGCAGGTCACAGACAGCAACGGTTATGGTGTCACCCCCCAGGCTCTGCGTGGTGAGGACCACAGCGTGAGGGAGTCATGGTACCTGCAGGGGGCTCAGCACAGCACAGCTGGTCCAGAGTAGGAACCCTCTAGCCTCCAAGCTGGCCATCCAGCAGTTCCTTCAGACCCCTCTTCAGTTTACCCCAGGCTTTCTAGGCTTAGGGGTGCCCTGGGAGGCCTGCAGACTCTTGGGGTCCTCAGGCAGCAGTAGAAAGAATGCAGAGAGGCTGTGGCTGGCTTCAGAGCTGCTGCCACCTGGGTGGGCTGCACGGGGGCTCTGTGTTGGAGGAGGGGGTAGGGCCTGCCACACTGCACAAACTCAGAGCCTGGCCACACCTGCAGAGGCCCAAGCAATCTTGAGACATGTAGCTGGTGAACAAGAGGACCAAGAAAGCCAGGGGTTCTCAACCTGGGTTAGTTACCCGGCCACTTGTAGAGATGCCAGGGATGGTCAGGACAGGCCAAGGGCACTGTGTAGCCCTCTGTAAGGTGGGGTTGTTCAGCCAAAATGTTCATGGTGCCCAGTTTGAGAAGCCCCGCCTTAAACTCTCATGCTGGCAATGAAGTTTAGGATTTTTTTGGGGAAAAAAAAGTGACAAAAGCAAAGAAAAAATTTGAAATGAAAAACAAGAAAAAAAAACTTGAAGAAATGAATAAGCTGTGTGAAGCAGGGCCACAGGCGGGGAATGGGATGGCACCCTGAGCAGGCTCTTGGGGCCCCACACTGGCCAAGGCCAGGGCCTGAAGCAGGGCAGAGGGCTGGCCTCAGTCTTTGAGGGTCTTACTGGCCAAAGCCTGTATCAGGCTTCTGGGGTCCATGTGCCAGCAGGGGCACAATTCCGTGCCAAGTGCCTCTCCCCCAGGGCCTCTTAGTCCCAGTGGAAGCTGGCTGGCTAGGAAGACACACTAGTGGCAGCTATGTGGCTGCTGGGCACACGCCCTCACCTCATCATCCGCTGATAGTGCTACAGTCATGCTGCAGATGGCTGAGGGCTCTGTTCCTGCTCAAAGGCTAGAAAAGGCTATCTCAGAAGCTCCCTGAGGCTCGCGTGGCAATAGGCCTTCAGAGGTTGCTGCTTGCTTGGGGTAAGTGGCTGGCAGCAAATTTAAACACACACGGAAACAAATACCACCAAAAAGCATGACTTCCACCAGGGCTTTCCCAGTACCCCAGAGCCCACCACACAGGCTATGGCAACTGCCTTGGATTGGCTGGAGGCCCCTGTAGGGAAAGCACGCATGGGGACTCAGAAAGGGGCATACAGGCAGCTGAGAGGGCTTCACTCAATTTCATTCATCAGCAGCGAACACGGAACACACAGCACAGAGAACATGGGACACACTGGCCAGGCTCTTGGCCTTGGAGTGGTTTTCAAAAGCCAAGTGATAGAATACAGGCCCCAGAAGAAAGAAGGGAAAGGGGTGGCGCTCGGCTGCCCTACATGTTCTTCTGACCACAGATAGCCTTGCTCTTCTTGTCCTTCTGGGATGTCTCATCCCTGACCTGCTGCCCAACCTTGGTCCTGTGCACCTTGGCTAAAGAGGCAGGTTTGGCCAGGCTCTTACCCGCTTCTGAGAGGTCGCGCAGGGAGCTGCTAAGTGCACTGCGCTTGAGGCCCTCGCTGGCCGCATAGCTGTCATCCAGGCAGGCCCGGCTCAGTGTCCCGTTGCCCGGCTCCTTCTTGAGGTTGGAGCACTGGGACATGCTGGGCCGCACTACGCCCTTCTGCTTCTCGAGCTCCGCTGGAACAGACAGGGTGACAGGCAGGTAAGGGGCAAGCTGCGAGAAGTCAGTGCAGGCAGGAGACACAGGCAGCCGTGGCCCTCCACTCAGGGCTGGCACTGGCCTGGGTCACCATCTATCAGATGGAGACCTGGGCAGGACATGGGAGGCTAAGCTGCACCAATGACTGGCACATCCAGTTTTGGGCAGGTAGGGAGGTGAGGTCTGCCAGGGAGGCAGGGCTCAGGGAGGTGCTTCCATGGGGGGTGGGGGGAACAGAGGTGGAGACAGTGTGTCTCTGGTGAGTGACCTGGGACTATGGCCCTGAAGATCAGTGGATAAGAATCACAGTGAGGGCAAAAGAGATCTGGCCAGCACTTGTTCATGGGAGACCGACCAGCAAGTGGTGTTCCTAGGCAGAGGCTGTGCTCACACAGGAGACTGTGCCCCCGGGACTGTGGGCCCTACACTCGCGAGGCTGTCACTGGCAGTGTCCCTGGCATCCCTGTCCCTCCAGGCGGCTGTGGAGGCCAAAGGGGCTTAAAGGCCCCTCCCCTGTGGTCAGAGACAGAGAGGTAGGCATGGGAGCCCAGCCACCCTGGGGAACCCAGAGGACCTGCGGGATGGCACCTCCTGCCCATGGGGTCCAGGACTCACACTCTATCCGGTGCTTCTCCATCTCCTGCACTTCTGCCACGGACTCCCGCAGGTCATCGGTGAACTTCTTCCGGTCTTGAGGGTTTGGGGCGTTGAAGGTGATTAACACTTTGGTGTCTGCCCCAGGCACGGCAGATGTGAGCCGGATGCCATTGGGGTAGTCTGTGAGGGAGAGGGGTAGGCATGGGCACAGTGCACTCTCTGCGGCATCCATGCTAGTCACAGGGACCGGGACATGGGTAGCCTAGGAGAAGCACTCTGAGCTCTGCCTCGGCAGCTGAATCAGGGTGAGCATGGGCAGTCCCATGTCCCTGACCTGGGCCCTACTTGCACACCAAGTAGGGTGACAGCCCAGAGCAGGAGAAGGCTGCCAGGCCTGAGGGTCATAAGGATGGCCCTCACCTGAGGCCCTTGTCCACCACCAGGTGCTGAGTCCCAGGGACAACAGAGAGCATGAGGTGTCTTAGCCTATCACCTCTGCAGTTCTGGATGTTAGGCTGAGAGCTGCTCTCCCCCAGTGGTCACAGCTCTGGCACACAGTGCCCTCCCTGGTGCCACTTGGATTCTGGCTCTGTCATGGGAATGCCCTGTCTATATGTCCCAACGGACATGTCGAGGGTCTTGGCACCTTGGGGTTGAAAGTGCCTGCGGTATGCTGGTATAAGCGTGTCTGTGTGTACTGCAGTTTCCTGCTGCTACATGGGAAGGGACTCTGACACCAATGCTGCTGATGTTTTTCAAGTGAAGCCCAAGATATTTAAATGTCGATGTGGAGATTTAAATATGAACTCAACCATGCTCCAGGACTTGGAACTGTGCCTGGGAACCTAGGGTCCACAGCCAGTCACACTTAGCTGCCTGCTGTGCAGAGGTGGATGAGGAGTGGAGGGGATACCCCATGGTGGGGGACACAGGAGCTCCTGGTGCAGACTCACACTGGTTCTCGAAGAGCAAGACTTGCAGGCCATACAGGGAGAAGGACTGCCGGAAGCTGTAAGTCACCGAGTTCTTCTTCTTCTGGAAGATCTTAGTAACCTAAGGGTACAGAGACAGCCAGGCCTCAGGACTGTGTGGTACCCAGGGACCTTCCTTTGGCCCAGAGGCCAGCAGCCCCACACTCAGCTGATCTGGGCAGAGTATGCTGGGGAGAGTGGTTTCTGTCCCTCTGAGTCTTGGATGCCCTTCAGGCAACTCAGCTCCATGGTACAGGCTATCACTGTGTGGCCTCCTTAGGGCCTGGTGCCTGGAGGATGGGACAAGCAGTCAGGACCCTTGCTCTTTCAAGGACTGACCATAGGGAGAAGCCAGACCTGGTGCAGGCCCAGCATGAGTCTTCTCTGGGCTGGGGAACACAGTCCCTGGGACCCTCACTGGAGACCCCCAAGGCTCAGTCTGGTCAGCAAAAAAGAAATCTCTCCTCCTCCCAGCCTCAGGGTGGAGCTTGTGAGAGCCAATCAGAATGCACTGCCCCTAAGAACCACAGTAATTGGCTAGAGTCTAGGACAGGCAGGCTTATTCTGAGAAGCAGCCTTAACAGGCTCAGGAAGGCTACTGGCTCTGAGGTGGTGTAGGCCTGCGCTGCAGGGACCCTCCTTCCTTTCTCCTGGACCTGCACCGGGTGCCTGTCCACAAAGAGCCTCCCAGGGGAGCAGCAGCCTGCTCTGGGGCAGAGGGAAGAGATGAGTCCTGCTGGAAGGATGGGACTCCCCCAGAACAGGTGGGATTGAGACGGAATGCCCTGATCCTTTCAGAAACGTGGGCGCCAGTTTGGGTTGAATTTTGTCCCCTGTAATCCCAAAGATTTTGGGCCATCTCCATCCTACCCTGGGGGCAGACACTGGCCCAGAAGAGCCACCACATACCACCAGCAGGTCGTTAAACAGGAAGATTTCACGCTGATGCAGCCCCAGCTTCTGAGGCTTGTTGGGGTCTGGAACCTCGAAGAGTCGGCAGTAGCAGACCAGCCGCCGGTGGGGCAGAGACAGCACCTGTGCAGGGAGAGATGCTGCCTTGGCCACCGGCCCCTGCTTGGGGACCCGAGGAGTGCAGTTAAGAAGTCCACTTGTGTTGCTGAAGCCAGCTTGCCTGCTTGGAGCACAAAACACCTCCCCACTCTGTCTTCACGAGCTGCTTTCAAAGTGCTAATACTGCTGGGCATGGCTGACATGCCCATAATCCTAGCACTGGGAAAGCTGAGGCAGCAAGATCACTGTGAGTTTGAGGCCAGCCTGGACAACATAATGAATTTTGCCAGCTGGAACAGTATGGTGGTGGAGATCCTGTCTCAAAAAACTAAAAAGTAAAAAAGAAAATTCCTGAGCTAGGGAGATGGCTCAGTGGAATAAGCGCTTCCCTGGCAAGCACAAGGGCTTGAGTTCAATCCCCGGTTCAGGAAAACAAACAAATGAAAATTTCTGATGTCTTTCTTGAAGAACTTGGGGAGCAACCTCACTTTGCTGAGCTTTTTGGGGGGGTTATTTTGGTGGGAACTACGCTTCTAAATATTTTACATTCATGCAGGACCCCTTGCCGGGGGAAAGTCATGTTTTCTGATTGTCCAGATGTGCATTCACCTATAAATCCATCAGTCTACAAGAAAAGCCTTTCTGGATGGACAAACAGGCATGGCAGGCTGAGGACGCTGCCTTCTGTCAAGTCAGGACACTGCAGGACTCGGTTTGGCTTCAGCCCGGGGGATGCTCCCTCTCTGCCAGGACCCACAGGTTTCAATGGCTCTAATTCAAAATGCCCCCTCCAAGACCTGAGCCACAACTATTCCTGCCATGGCCCACAACACCCGCAAAGGGACAAATGCATCCCCCAGCCTCACTATGGTGGTGTTACTGAGACTTGTGACCAACATGCCAGCTGGGGGCCTCAGGACAGGGGCACCCATCAGGGAGGTCTGGGTCCAGCTTAGGGAGCGCCCTGGCTCTCAAAGGACACAGAGTGATCACAAGGGGATGGGGCACAGGGGACTGATGTGCCCTGGTGCCCAGAAAGAGAAGTGTGAACGGGAGAAGGAGGAGGGCCGAGGGCAGGAATGTGGAGGTCTGGATGTCTTGCTGGAGCACTGGGGACGAGGACAAAGACAGAGACATGCCCCACACCAAGGAGCTAGCATGCACATACTCTGGGGCCTCTAGACAGGAAGCAGCCATAGATAGCACAGTAGGGGCAGAGCTGGGAGAGGCAGAGCCTGGAGGCAAGGGCAGAGCATGGACGCCCATCAGAGGCCACCCTAAAGGGTGACAGCTGAGTCTCCACCACTGGCCTGGCCCTGAAGCCCTGCCTTGTGGCTGTGGTCTCAGAGCTGCCAGAGGTGAGTCTGGGAACCACAGAATGCTGGTCACTCAAAGTGTACCCGGCAGTCAAAAGTCTGGCTCCCAGAGCACAGGGCTCTGGCCAGGACACATCAGGATACACAAGGATCCCCAGTGTGGCCGGGCAGCAGCCAGAGGCAGGAGCAAAGAGGTACTCACACAGCCAAGCCCATGGTGCAGTGATCCGATCTGCAGGAAAACAGGAACACAGAGAAGGATGTTAACATCCACACACCCCTGGGGATGTCAGGGGCATGCATGGTGACAACCAGCCCTCCCCAATGAGGGCACCAGGTCCCCAGCTCCACCAGCCTAGATGCCAGGGAGTGGCCAAGGTAGAGGACTCACTGTAGTGTACTGTGAAGGATGGGGGCTCATGTTGCCAAATAAGGAGCCCAAAGTTAGCAGAGCTGGACCGTCACTAAGAACTTCAGGGTTCCAAGTGCAACCCGGAGCAAACAGCTGCAATTCCCTGAGCCTGTAGCATCATCTGACGCCTAGCCGGGAAGTCACTTGCCAGCTCTGCCTGCCAGGGCCCAGTGCATACCGGCTTCTTCCCCACGATCAGCTTCTCCACCTTCTGCACCTGGGACACGTGGTCCTCATTAGTCTTCAGCTCCCGCTTCCGGATTCGCTCATAGATCCCAATCAGCATCTCCCGGGGAATGTCTTCACCATCGTCCACGCCTGGGCAGGGGATGGCATCGGGGGATCAGGGTGGCTGAGGCACAGGCAGTGGCAGCTCCACTCAGCCTCAGCCTTGGCTCACCCCTATCTCTGGTTCTGAAACCAGATCAGAAGAGCCAGGCTTTCCTGTTTCCCACAAAGCCATGGCCCAACCAGCCCCACCACAGCCCCAAAGCTTCCACAGACAGGTGACCAAGGTTGAGATCTGGGAGGCTGGGAAGCCAGGCCCTGAGTCTGGACCTGAGCACTGGTGTTGTCCCTTCCTAGTGGTGTGACTGTGCCTGAGTGATGGGTCTTTCTGAGCTTGGCGTCCTGTATGGACTGTTCGGTGTGAACGGCCAGGAGCAGCAGCTGGCTGGCTCTTCTGAGGTTTATTAAGAGTGGATAGCAAGGCACAAAGTGGGTAAAGCAGAGGTATGACTGGCCTGAGGGGTACCTGAGGGACATGGGAGGCAAGGGGCAAAGGTGCAGGAGGCCAGGGCAGAGAATGGGACCTGGTCAGCAGGGTAGCAGGGAGGGGAGCTTGGCTAGGAGTGTTTAGGACCTGGTGGTTGTTTGAATTAGACTTGGTCTGGAGAGCAGTTAGAGGCTTCTAGGAACATCCACCAGAAGGAAGGGCGCCCCACCCCAGAGGGTCCGTCTGTTACACCAATGGCCTGCCCAATGCAGGCTACCCACACTCCTGTTCATGTGGGGGCTCACTCTGCACTATGGTGTTCTATGGGTACAGGCAGGTGTGTGAGCACCTGTGTCCACCACCACGGCACCAGTGAGCAGTGGCCCTGCCCTCAAACCCCTCTGTACCACCTGCTCACCCCTCTCGTTCCCTACTGCCCCCACCATGGCGTTTTCTGAGCTCCAACTTTGTCAGTCCCGGATGCCTGAGTTGGGGCAGATGGTACACAGTCTTTCCTAATTGGCTTTCTTTTGCTTTTTTTGAGACAGGGTCTCATCATATAGTCCAGGCTGGGCTAGAACTAACTATCTGGCCCAGGCTGGCCTCAAAACTCCCAGCATTCCTCCTGCCTCAGTCCCCTGAGTGCTGGGATTACAGGCACACGCCACCACGTTTGGCTTCAGATTGGCCTCTGTAACTTAGCAACAGGTCCTAGGTTCCCTGATGTCTTCTCACAAAGGATGGTTCATTTCTTCTTAGTAGTGCTAAAACACACCTAGTAGCCCTGCCCCCATTTATTACCCCTGTACAGCATGGCCCCTCCTGTAGCTTGACAGCTACCAGAAACTTGTACAAGTGGAGCTAAGTCTTCAAGTCATATGGGTAAACCCCAGAAGCCAGGCTGATGTCTTGTACAACTTTCTGGGCTTTGATCTGTCTTAACTAGTCTTGCCCCTAGATGTCCCCTCAAAGCCTCGTGTGGCCATACATGAGGCTCTTCAGAGGTGGCTGGCTCTACAGTGTGTGATGTTTGGATCCTGGGTATGTGATTAATAAATTAGTCTACTGGTTGGTTTGCACAGTTCTGGATGGGATAAGGTTGCCCCACCCTGCCCTAAAGGCAGGTAGCCTGGATAAAACATAAGGGACAGAAGAACAGCTAATGTTGCCAATCACCGTTCCCTGTTACTTTGCTTGCTTGCTGCTTGCTGCCTTCTGTTGTCCTGCTCTGCCATGAGAAAACCGTTCTGCTCAGACGTGCCCCTGGCCACGCCACCCTGCCCGGGAGCCAGCCGACTGTGGGCTGAAACCTCCAGAAGCTGTGAGGCAAACAAGCCTCACCTTCCTTAACTGCTAAGTTTCAGCAATGAGAAAATTAAGGCATGAACTATGTGAAGATAATGTCATTCCAAAAGCAAATGGGAAAAAGAAAAGTGAGGTTTTTAACAAAAGGCTTCCACAAGGGTGCGTTCCCTCTGCTACACCCAGCCTGGGCCTGTCCTGCTGCCCCCACCTGAGACAAACTGGCCCAGTGAGTCCCAAGGACACTGGTGGGGCTAAGGTTAGGTCTCCCTCAGAAAGAACGAGCTGGGATGTGCTCCCTGGGAAGGCCAGCAGGCCTGGAGATGCTGGGACCCAATTCACCTCTACCAGCACTGGCTCTGTGGGCCAGGGAGGTCAGAATCCTCTCTAAACCTTTGCAGGGAACATGGGGTAGAACTGATCCAGTTTCTGGCTCAAAAAGTAGGGCTTTGCTGGGCACAGCCCAGGTGTGGGGCCAGAACCAGGGCCGCCTCCCCAGGATCAGGGTGCTCTGCACCTGTGCTTGGCTTGGGGAGTCCCCCCCACCCCCCCACCTCCCCGTGCTGGGCGTGCAAGACAATGGCATGTGGCGATGGCTGTCGACTCTCAAGCCACTGTCGTGTTGGTACAAACCCCAAGTGCTGGACCTAGGGCCTCCAGAGCCTCCCCTTTCTGGCCGATCTCTTCCAGCCTGCCCACTGGGGCTCCCAGGGATTCTCTGACTACAATAGGCTGGCCTGGGAGAAAGGCCCCAGGCTGAGAGGACCCTGGGCAGCTCCACCATGTGCACCACCTGAGGCTCTAAGCTCCCTCACTGTTTCCTGGAGTGGGGTTTCCCAGGAGTGCAGTGGGGACCTCCGCCATACCCCACCCCACTCAGGTCTTGGAGCCAAGCTCTGTAGCCAGCACCTGACCACTGCTCCCCTCTAAGGGAAAACATCAATGGTTCCCTAAGTCATCAAGCTAAAGTGTTCCGCCAGCAGGTGGCGCATGAGAAAACCCTTAAGTCCAGGCAGGAAGGCTGGGAGGAGTAGGAGACATTGCCCATGGGGTCCTCCTGCCCAAGTAGACTGTGTGACAGCACTGTCACAAGCTGAGTGGGGTGTGATTCACACCAGCTTTGTTCCCTCTTCACACAGTACAATGCCATTTCCAGCGGGACCTCAGCTGGTGTTCCTAGAACCCACCTTGGCCCCACAATGACAGCTTTCCAGGGACAGAAATAGACACAATCCCTCCTTGCCCTGCCAGTCCCCCTGCTGCCTTCTGATGGCCTTGTCCCAAGGAGGTCTTGCCTCTTGCTGGCCTTGTCAAGGTTCACCTTCTCACAGGTGGGGAGGGGGGCTGGAGGAAGGGAGTGTGGCTACAGCCCAAAGGCACTGCTTCCAGTCACTGTGGGCATCTTAATAATCACTTTCTCCTCCAGGAATGCTACTGGCTTCTGTCCAATGCTGATACCGGATTCCCTTTCACATGCACCCATCAGGCAGAAAGGCCCAAAGGAAATAGGTCAGCTTCACCCTTCTAGCACAAACTACACATCACTTCCCTTGCAGTGAGGTGTATGACCCAGAGACAGGCAGCCTGTCCCCCAGGCTGTGCTGGGCCCTGTACACCTCTGGAACTGAGGGATACCAGGGATAGAGCTCTGTCTCACAAACCTTTGTCTCGGCAGCTTAGCCCCAGCAGGGGCCAGCAAGTGTGAATAGCTCACCTCGGAGGTTCTTGACAAAGTCCTCCAGCTTCATCTTCCGCTCAGGCTTGACATTGGGGCTGTACATGTCTGTGTTGAGCAGGATGATGGCAAAGGCCAGGATGAAGATGGTGTCTGGGTTCCGGAACTGGCGCACCACACCCGGGTTGCAGATGCAGTACCGCTGGCTAGAGAGGAGGTGCAGAGGGCTGGTCAGCCTCACTCCTGTGTTTGATGGGTGAGGAATGTGACTGGGTAGAGCTGGCCCTGAGCACCCTGTCCTCTCCCACTCTGCTGGAGACGTCCCTCTTGACCTGCCTCTTTTCCAGTGGATACATGGTTATGAAGAGCAGCTGCGGACTGAGCTCGGCCGACGGACAGAGGCAGGTGTGATTTGGAAACCTGCAAGCCTGTGCCTCTTGTCCCCTCCCTGTGTCACATGGGCATCCCTATCTATTCCCACCACCACCTACCCTTCAGGGTCCTAGGCAGACAGGGATAGCTCAGTGACTGAAGATTATGTATAGCAGGAACCAGCGCTCCAGTGGCCCAGTTGATGAGCACACTGCTTAGACGTTCAGCAGGGGCAGCAATCCAGCCTTCACCATACTTGTGGGGTCAGTGTCCCTCCAAGGTTGTCTCTGCCCTTTATCCTCTTGGAGCACCAGGTCAGTGAGGGGGGCATGAGACTCCCACACCCAGCCCCCAGCAGCCACGGGGTCACACAACTGGGATGGGGTGGGCTAAATGATGGAGCCAGGCCACCTGGCTCTATGGCTTGTAGGGACTGGGACAGTCCACAAATGAGTGACCAGGAGGGACGACTAAGGAGGACATGAGGAAGATGGGCATCTCAGGCCTGGTGTGGACAGTCAGAGTGAAGTCGTGGAGTGTGAGGCTTTTCAGCTTCAGGCTCCCCATGGACGAAGTCAGAATACATTCCCCACGCCTGGGAGGATGGAGGGCCCAGCTCAGGGCCAGGTGGCAGCACAAGAGGCCCCGCAGTAAAGGGAGAAGGGGATTCAGGGCTGGTGCCTGCACAGTGGCACCTTCTCCACCACCCTCTCCATCAATATGGGCCGCATAACGCAGGACACTCACCTGAAGGCCTCTATGAGCCGCTCCACCTTCTGTGCCTCACCCTGCACCCGGATGTGCGCCTGGAACTTTCTGAGGGCCTCATCCAGCTCCATGGCAGAGAAGTCCATCTCATCCACCACACAGCTGGAACAGAGATGCGGCTTACGTGAGCCAGCTCGGCCCTCAAGGAAGCCTGATCCTGGCACCCCCATCAGGTGACCCACCAGAACAAGTCTTGAGAGTGCAACAGACAGATGTGCCCCTGACTCGGGGATGGCAGCTTCTGGGCAGGGAGGGCTGCACGCAGCCTCTGCCATCGGCAAAGAGCACTTGAGAAAGCACAAGAGGGTTCTGGGGGCCGTTCACCCCCAAACCTCAGGATATACTTGTGCTCTGCTTATGTGCAGTTTAGTGTAGGGGAGGCCTTCCTGAAGACAGCCTTTCACCCAGCTGCTTCCCAGCTCAGGGGACAGGGCTCGGAGTCTCCTCAGTTCTATATGGCTCCCAAGTGCCTGACGATGAGGACCAGGGCCTGGACTTTCAGGGTGGGGAATGTTTTGGGGGTCCCTTTTCACCAAATCTTGGGGCATCTTGGAGAGCTGAGCTACCCTCATCTTGAGGAGCGGCCAGCACCTGGATTTTGAGGGTCACCATCTTCTCACACCCTGCCCCATAACCTCCCTCCAGGCAAGGGAGGTCTGAACCAAGGCCCCAGGGTGGAGGCACCTCCTGGGACCAGGAGTTGTCTTTCTTAACAGTTATAGCCACCATCACTACTCCTGGCTGCAGAGACAGAAGTCCTCAAAGGCTTCACACACCCCCACCAAGCCCCCACACCCGTGGAGCACTGCACATGGTGGGAGGGCAGGCAGGGAGGGACTATGTGGCCCTGAGGAGCCTGCTGATGGGGGTAGCTCGAGACTTCCTGAGGCCACTGCTGTTTTCTGGTGGGTGGACAATGCCCGGATTTCCTAGGGACCAGGAACCAGCTGGGGGGACATGGTGCAGGAAGGGCTGCAGGGGATGGCTGGGGACTGCCCCTCGTCACCCAAGCTTCACGTTTCAGAGGGGAAGGGCAGTGACTGCAGTGAGAACTCGACAGGGGCCTTGCTTGATGTGGAGGAGGAGTGGAGTGTGCGGAAGGCAAAAGGAAGCCAAGGCTGCTCGCATCCGGCCCAGGAAGGACACAGACTGGTCCAGCATGTAACAGCCACTGCCAGTGTCCTGTCACTTGGTCTCCTACATGTCTGCATTTGTGTTCATGTGCATGTGTGTAAGTATAGTAGGGTGGCTATGTAAGCACCTGCATTGGTGAAAACCTCTGTGTGTGTGTGTGTGTGTGTGTGTGTGTGTGTGTATGTGTGTGTGTTTGAGTATATAGGACCCAGAAAGAGAGGTGGCAGGAAAGCTAGTACAGCTGCTTTTCTGGATCCCTGGATTTGAATCCCCAGATTTAACTAGCCACACATTCTAAACACCCAGGAAAAATAAAACGAGTCTCATCTACCACTGGTGTTTATTAGCCCTGAATCGCACAGCACAAGAGCTATTTATATACACTGAGGCTGCACACAGGTATGTGGTTATGTGCAAATATGGCACATAATGGACCAGAGCATCTGATGTGTGGATTCTGCAGGGGTCCTGGCACTTGGCCCCAGGACACCAAGGGTCAACTGGTGTCGCAGCCAACAGAGTGAGCCTGTGAGTGCAGGTTACACAGGACGTGAGGGATCCCAAGGATGGCTCTGCCAGTGCGGCATAGGTCTGTGCCCCCAGCCCAGAACTCACTCGAGCACATCGCGGTTGAACTGCTTCTGCCGGTTACCCAGGAACTCGCCGATCATCTGGCGGCTCAGGCCCTTGCGTTGCAGCAGGAAGTGGGCCACGCCCACCGGCGTGTCAGGCACAAAGCCGCGCTCAATAAGGTATTGCACACCCTTCTCAGGCTTCCTGGGAGATGAGAAATGTACTCAGCTCGCAGCCTAGCAGCTTGCTGGGGTAGAGCTCTACCCAGGGCCGGGTGCTGCCCTCCTGTCCTCCCCTGCCCGACACTGTCCTTGGCCCTCGACCACATGCCTGTCCCCAAGCCTGAAATGGGGAGGTGCTGAGATGAAACCCTTCATCCTAAGCCACCTGAACCTTGCCAATAAGACAGGGTTGGCCTGGCCACAAGGAGCCTCATCCACATAGGACTGTAAACAAGCCCTTCTGAGCCATCCCTGTGTACGCCAAGGCATTCCTTAAACCCCCACTCCTGGGGCTCAACACTCTGGTGGTCAGCAATGCCTAGAGTCCTACAGCCTTGTGACCTCACCTGGCTGTGATGTCCCCTGGTGAGAGGACTGAGTGAGCCCTAGGTCCCTGGCCTGTGAAGATGCACTTAGTAAGCACCATGAAGGACTTGGGGTTTCCAGCCGGAAAGCATGGCCCAGTCCTGCCAGTGGACTCCCCAGAGGGAGGCTGCACTGGCACAGCAGGGCTGTGTCCCCACACACCTGGGTGTGCTCACCAGGAAGTGCAGAGCCAGGCCTCCCACAGCTGGGCACAGAGCACAGCCCTGCTGCACCTGCCAGTGTGGACTGTGGACATCACCGTGTCCTGAGTCTCATACCACCATCCTGCGGTGGTGCTCCTACCACAGGAGCCAGGCAGGCTCATCCTCCCCTCAGTCTCCAATGCGCCACCTGTCTCCTGGAAGGGCTGCAGGGGATGTAGCCTTGGCTAACCTGGCAGGTAGGCTGGAGGTGCCAGAGACGGGGTGGCATGAGGGGGCTTTGAAAACAGCTGCACATGTGACCTGAGGAAGCCTGGTGTCCTCTTCTCAGGAGCTCACCTGGCCACTCAGGGAGCTGTGCAGAGTGCAAGGGCACGGCCAGACCCCTGGCCAGACTGGCACCCTGTCCCGCTGTCTTGAGTCCTTGGTGTCACATGAGACATCAAGAGCTGGGTTCCCCTCCAGGATCCAGTGCTTCCCCCAGTTGTGAGGGGGTAGAGGGAGCAGTGGGCTCAGGCCCCTCTGCCCTGGATCATATCCAGCACCCATGCCCTCAATGGGTGGTGGGGGGCTGGGTTCTACCTCCTGTCTCAGTGGGCAGAGCCACCAATCTTCTGTCCCCTGGCCAGCAGTGCAGATGAAGACAGCATGTGCCCACCGCATCTCCCACCTGGCTCCTAGCTGCCACACATCGCAGTATGCGCACGTGCCTGCAGAGGCCCTACTATTTTCACCTGATAACAGTCACATCCTCAATCATTTCTAAGGCTTGGCAGGCAGCAGTCAACAACCAGGGGGTTGTGGCACAGCAGTGACCTTGCGGGGCCCCGCTGCTCACACCTGTGTGCAACCCAGGATGGCCTGGTTCCTTCTGCATGTGGGCACTGTTGCCCCTTACAGCTGCTGACATGGCTGTTCCAGGTTCTGCTTCCGTGCCCTGCTCAGCCCCATGCAGCCCTCTCCTGTTCCCAGGGCCTCTGGGACAGGCTCCTCTGCCCTGCAGCACCTAGAGCACAATGGGAAAGGGGAGGTGGTGTGGGGATATGAGGCTCAGCTCTTCAGGGATTGGTACCACGTGTCAGGCACAGAGCTGTGGGGATCACAGCAGTGGACAGGGCAGCTATGGATACCTGGCACAGTGGTAGATGGGAGGCCAGGGCCTGAGGGCCAAAGCCTGCATGATGGAGGGGGGAATCCTGTGGGAGACACAGAGGCTTCTGAGCAGGGCCAAGGGATAGAGCCCAAGGGGCTGAGATGTAAACACAGGGCTGTGTGTCACTGTGTGTCCCCTTGGCCAGCTAGACCTCCCTTAGTACCAGCTCTCGGCTAGGGCTGTGCCAGTACAAGCCCCGACTCTTGAGAAACACATGTTCTCACTGGAGTATGATCAAGGAGGGAGGCGAAACCCACGGACACAGGGGGGCACTGAAGCACAGGAGGCTGGGCATGGTCAGGAGCCTGGGTTTCAACTTCAGCTGCACTACTAGCTGGGGGACCTCAGGCAAATTATGGGCCTTTTCTGTGCCATGTACACTGGGGAGGACACTGGTGCATACTACAGAAGTGCCAGAGAGCTGGGTGCGTTCACACATATAGAATAGATGGCTCAGGTCTGCAGGAAACACTGCTGGCTACAGGGCTCGACAGAGCACACTAGGTCCGGGAAGACCCAGGGAGTGATGCCATGCTGACCTGGACAAGGCAGTGACAACGGAGGCTTAGCAAGTGGGTGCTCCTCTGCATAAACAGTGCCAGGGTTCTAACCCATTCCTTTGCCCTCAGAAGCCCCTAAGTAGTCCATGCCCTTCCTCGGCATCACCACTGAAAACCCCTCCTACACACTTCCTGACTGTACCTTCATTACTTTTCTATCTACCTAGCTGTACCCTGGAAGGACCAAGTTTCAAGAAGGTGCTGACAGCAACTTTGGCCATCTGCGCCTGGGCCTGCTGTGTCCCTGGGATGCCTGGCAGGCGGTCAGCAGTCAGCCAGCCCATAGTCCTGCCCTTGGTGTCTGCTTCCGGTCCAGTACTGGTAGCCTCCTGCAAGGAGGCTGAGCCAGCTTTAGACATCTGATGCTGACTCAGAGTCAAGTGTGACAAAAAACACAAGACCGCAAATGGTCATTTCCCTCTGTGCAGCTCACATTCAGAGGTGACTGTGAACTACTGGGGGCAATAGTGAACTAGGGAAGGTTCTGCAGTAAGAGCAGGTCTGTGCCCCTCAAGGAACAACTACTGGTCGAGTGATCAGCCCTCCTTTCTGGGGAAGGAGTTGTCCAGGTTCACCCTATGAGAAGGGGTGTGTCCATCCTACATCTCCAGATGTCCCACCCTGCCCAACCTCTGTCCTGGTGACGAAGGGCTAACCTTCCTCAGCTACTGACCAGTCAGAGCCTTGCCTCCTGTGGAGCACAGGGAGAGGGATGGGAGGAGACATGGGGCTGGGGAACTTTGCTTCTTGCAAGGACTGCCCCAAGGTTGGGCCAGGGAGCTCAGGTAACCCTCTCAACTCAGGGACAGGGTCAGTGCTGGGGAAGATACTCCTGGCCTCTTCAGGCCTCTGGGGAGCCCTGTGTGATGGCTCTTATCTCCATTATGTGTCGGGCCCACTGCAAGCCTGTGGAGGGACGCAACCAAAGCCAGCCTTCTGAGCATCCTGCAGCTGCCCTAGAAATGACTTCTGGTTGGGCTCTATAGGCTGGATTTGGCCATGGCCCGTGAGACACAGGCAAGTAAGACCCTGATTTCTAAAGATCCAGTGTCCTCCTCACCCTCTCAACTCCCCCACCCCCCGCCCAGCCCCTGTTCCCCAGAGAGCCACCTGTTAAGTTGCCAGCACCACAGGCCCTGGCGAAGAGAACTGTGTGTAAGCTTTGGCCCTGGGCCTCACCAAGCCCAGCCCTCTCCACCCCACCTGCCTTGGCTGAGCTGGGTGGCAGATCACATGCACAGGTGAATCCTAGCATCATTCCTGTTGTTTGTTAGCAACAACCAGCAGACTTGTGCTTCAGTGAAGGGGGACCTGGTCTGGCTCCTGAGCCCCCTCCCCTGGGGATGGGGCAGTGGGAGGAGTCTCAGGTGCTGGAGGGTGACACAGCCTCTCAGAGTCATGCAGTGTCCCTATGGGGCTATACCTCAACCCTGTGGCAGCTCCAACAGACAGGGTGGGCACTAGGGGTGGAGGGCTGGCTGCCTCCAAACATAGGGCCCTGCACAGGGGGTACAGAGGCCCTGTGCATGGCTCCCAGCCCTTGCAGAACTCCCACCACACTGTCACCACAGGTGGTCACCCAGACGCCACTTCCATGCTCTTCAGAGATAGGGTTCTCACTCCCACCAGACAGGAGGGTGTGAAGCCTGCAGGGGAGGCTCTGTGCTTCCTGGAGGGCAAGTGTGGACAAAAGGGAGGCTTAGGAGGGGTGGTGATGGTGGGCTGAGGGGTGAGGATGGGGCACAGGGACATAGCAGGATGAGGACCCAGGCAAGGGCAGCAGAGCCCTGGCACACAGCTTCAGGGCCCACTCTGCAAACCAGACACATTACTGCCCAGCCCTACAAGGCTCAAGTGGCCACCTCTGACTCCATCACTGCACAGGATCTGGGGTTCTGTATCCTGACCAGTGACTGGCCAGAAGCTCTGGGCCCCAGAGAGGCTCCAAGGGAGCCCTAGCAGGGAGTACAGGGTGAAGGACAGGCTTTGGAAATGGCAAGGCTCCAAGCCTATAGGAGGAGGTGCTGTTGGGTAAACGACACAGCTTTAGAGGAACACCTTCCCCTTGCATCTCCCAATACCTTGGAGCTGGCATCAGGACCACACCGGACCAAGGAGACAACATCCTGGAGCAGGGCTGAGCTGGGCACCTAGCCAGGGCTACAGGGTCTGCTCCACATAAGCCAGCACCCAGCTTCTGCGGGGAGTCCTGCAGATACCACCCGGACCCATCCCAAGGACCTAGGCCGCAGAGAGCTCCCCATCCAATCTGCACTGCCCAGTGTGGCACCTGCTGACCACAAGTGTCCAGGGAACCCCTGCTGGGAGGACAACACCCATCACCAGAATTCTTTAGGAGCTGACTCTGAAATTCCTGTGCAATAATGTCCACAAGGAGCAAGGGAGTTTCTAAAAACAACAAAGAAGAGATATTTGTCCTAATAAGAAACATGAAAGGCAGCAGTTAAATCTGATGGCTGTGGGTGCAGCTCATTACCTACTGTGCAGAGCTCTGGGTTTGATCTCCAGCACCAATAAATAAAGAAATAATTTAAAATGTCTGGGGTTGGCAGAATCAACTTAGCCATTGTGTGACATTCCCCAGGACCTTTATTCTGTGTGCGGGTACATCCTGGGCCCCTGCAATAGTGCCAGGTGTGTATATGTGGGGGGGCAGCCAGGACCTGCTGAAGGAGGGGAAGGCCCACATAAAGCCAGGACCAGGTAGGAGGCAGATCCTGATGCCAGCCACCAACACAGGATCATTGGGGTGCAAAAGTTAACCACAGGGTATGACGACAACCCTGGCTTTCTTTCTTTCTCTAAAGAAATTCCAAGACCAGGGGCAGTGTCTTTCAGAATAAGACACAGAGCAGCTGGGGGTGTGGTCAAGGGGGTGAGCACTTGCCAGGCGCACACGAGGCCTAGGGTTCCGTTCCCAGCACTGCCAAATGTAGGAATTATATAAAGCATAAAAAAAGAAGTAGTTTCAAAACATCAAACATTTTTTATGATTTGACTAAATACTATTAAATGCTTCTTTTATCAGACAAGAGCAGCAACAAAGCGAAGAAGTATATCATCAAACACCCCTGAGCTGGATGCTTTTTGTAAAGTCTGTCCCAGACAAAATCAGTGATATCGCAAAGATAAACTCCTTCAACAAATACAAGAAAGAAAAGCAAAAGGCAAAGTACCCATAATTATGCAGGAGTCATATTTCCAACTGCTAGTATAACACAGTGTCTTTAAAAGTGGCAAAAAGCCAGTCGAAAAATGGGCAGTTTCACAAAAAAAAAAAATCAAAGAGGTGGAAGACACTGATAGAAGCTGCATCTCTGAAGCAAGCAGGGGAAATCAACTTAAGTGACAGAGAGACACATCTGTCCCTGTTGGGTAAAGAAAAAACTTAACACTGAGTCCAGACAGGCATGGGAACAGGCAGGCACCACCTAATCCTGTGATCGAGGGTGGCAATGGGGCCAGGACCCCTTAACCACTAACTTTGCAGTTGCTGCTTGAACTAAAACTGTGCTTGCCTGAGACCCCACAGCTACTCTCCAGCTGTCTCCTGGGGACTCTCTGGGGACGGTGTGTAAGGGGCATGTTCACACCTGCTGCCACAAAAAAGGAAGCACTGTGCCCAAAGGCCTGCTAGTGAGGCTGTAAGACCCAGCCACAGCAAGCGCATAGACATCGTCCCGTGCCCACACACAGTGCTTCTCAGTTCAGCCCAATGGGTGGGCATCACTGGCTTCACCCGTCTTGCAGATGAGGGCACTGGGGAGCAGGATGAGGCCCCCTGCGGGTACTCCCACAGGACACAGGGTCTCGGGGCTGTTTTCCTCACCCTGGTCGGCTGCTGTTCCTAAAGTGTCACACAAATACACAGACAAGACCTGGAGGAGTATCATTCTAGCTACTGGGGAGGCTGAGGCCAGAGGATGGCAGATCGGGGGCCCTGTAGTGGGCACCTTAGTGAGACCCTGTCCAAAATAAAAAGAGCAGGGATATAGTTAAGTGGGAAAGCCCTTCAATCTCCAGTACTGCCAAGAGGAGAAGAAAAGGAAAAAAAAAAAAAAAAATTGGAAGGGGAAGACTCCAAAATAGCCAAAGACGATGTCACTCTGAGCCTCAAGGCTACCACTGAGCAGAATGTCTCTTTGTGTCATCCATGCAGTTATGTGACAGAATGAGCGTGGGCTAGGACTATAGGGGGTCAGCTGAAGAAGACTCTTACTCAACCTCCATGCCACAGCTAGGGACCCCTCATCTTCCTAGAGGGTGCAGGCTTCGCTCTGAGGTAGCCCTGGAGGCAGCAGCGTCTGGGAGTAGTCCAGTCAGACTTCAGGACAAAGCCCTGCCCAGCCCCAAGCACTTCCATTGCCACGAGGATGCCTTAAGAACAGCCCTAAGTTTTCCCAGCCCCTTGGGAGCAGCCAAGCTACTGGCCACCCTGTCCTCTGGGGCTGTTGGGGGAAGCACCACACAAGGCCGGTCAAGTCCCCACTCTGGGGGAGTCCATGCCTGGCTGGCATCTTATGACCCCAGATCCCAGAGGCCCTGAGGCCAGAAATACTGTGAAATCTCAGGACTCCCAAGAGCCTGCCAAGGTCCCCGAGGGTGGCTTGGCCCTCCTCCCCTTCCCCTTGCTATTTTTAGCCCTGCTAAGAATAATCTACTTTAAATACCCTCTTCCTTCTCCTCCCTCCTGGGACCTGCTCTGGGGCTACCCGGAAGCAACTTCCACTGAGCCCCTGGGGGAGCAACACAACCCCACAGCTCCCCAAACCTCTGTTCTCTTACCCTTGCACCTCACTTAGGGCCTGATGCAGGTGCTCCTGGACTCCCCCGGTCCACTTGAGCTGGCCAAGGCCCTCTCAGACCCAGGCCTACTCTATGCCCCTCAGCTGGACAGGCAAGACTGGGCCTGCACCTCCCTACATACCACAGTGCTACAGGAGCAGCAGCAGGGACCCAGTTGGGAGTTGTTCTACCTATGGGGAAGGTCCTACTCTGCCCGTCTGGGCTGGCCTATAAGTATCTGTCACCCGAGGACACTCAGACACTGCACATCCTGCATGTGCTTGCCTGGAGTCCACCTCAGGACAGTACAAAGGCAGGCTCCCGTGTGGCCCTCTGCAGGGCCAGCTTGCCCACCAGGGACTCACTTGTTGAAGAGGTTGAGGCCGATGCGGTAGTGCCGCTTGCGGATGACATCGTTGCTGAAGGCTGGTGAGTCCCAGCTGTTGCGGGTCTCCTTGTGGTAGGTCTGCTTGCTGAGTGTCTGCTCTCGCAGGCTGTCTCGCGAGGATGACTCGGAGCTGCAGTTGATGGTGTCATTGGAGTTGGACGTGCTGTTGATGCTGTCGTTGTCCCCATCTGAGTAGTCCGACTCTGACTTGCTCTGCCTGTTGGCCGAGCCGTTGATGGCCAGGTGGCTCTCAAGGGACCTTGGGGGCCGGGGCCGAAGCTCGGGCTCATCCCGGGGGAGGCCCTTGGGGGCACCATGAGGGCCATGCTTGGGGCTGCCCTGCTGCCCACCGCCCAGGCTGCGCTCATAGGCACTCTGCCTCTTGAGCGAGCTGCGGTCTGAGCGGTCGCTGAGGTCAGCTGAGCTGTCGCTGGGTGGCTCGATGGTGAGCAGTGGGAGGTGATCGGCCCGCAGCCGTGGCTCAGGCCGCTCCAGTGAGGGTGTGCTGTGGCAGCTGGTGTCTGTGTCGGCTTTGTCGTCCTTGTGGGCCAGGGCCCAGTAGTCCTGAGCAGCGCCCCCAGACCGCAGCCGCAGGTCCGACTCCGTGCTGGAAGGCCGGTCCCCTCCCTGTGCGAGGGGCAGAGGTGGTGAAAGCTCCTCCTCATCAATGTACAGGGTGACGTCGCTGTAGGAGGCTGTCATCTCATCCAGCTCGCGGCGGTCCATGCTGTGCAATGCTGCCTTGGGCTCAGCATCCCGAGCCCGTGCGGTGTCTGGGGCTGGCGCCTCCTCTGTGTGCAGGCTGCGGCAGTTGAGTGCATCGTCAATGGACTCAGCCAGTGACTTCACCTGCCGGGAGAAGGCGTCCTCCAGCTCTGTGATGGCGTCTGCAAAGTCGCTGGAAGCCGCTGGGGACTTGAGGGTGACTGGCTCGCCCACGTCCCCGCATTCAGAGGGCACCAGGCTGCCCAGCTGGGAGCCGTCATTGGTCACTGAGACCTGCTTGCCCTCGAAGTAGGAGCTGTGCACCTTCTCAGGCCCCTCGAAGGAGAACTGCATCCTCATGTTGGACAGCACAATCCGGCGCGACATGCGGTTCTCCGACATGGAGCTGCGCAGGCGCTCGAAGTTCTTGTTCATCTGGTACTGGCGGAAGGCCGTCTGGATGGTTCGGGCCGCATGGCGGGTCACAAGGCGCCCCCCATATTTGCGTTCTAGCATCTCCACCTGTTGGGGCCGGAGAAGACAGTGAGTGAGGGTGATCCCAGGTGCTGGCCAGCACAATACTTACCCTCCTTCTCAGACTGTAAAGCTGCAACAGAAAGTCTGTGTGTATCCAGAGTTGGCTGAAATGGGTGCTGGGAGCTGCTCGGAGGGGGCCTAAATATGGGTTCCAAGGTCAAATAAGATGAAACACCAGGGCCGGGGAGATGGCTCAGTGGAATAAGTGCTTCACTGGCAAGTGCAAAGGCCTGAGTTCAATCCCCGGTTCCGCAAAAAAAAAAAAAAAAAAAAAAAAAAAAAAAAGATGAAACACCATGTTAAGGTTAAAGTGAGCTGTGGCACATGCCTGTAATCCTTGTACCCTGGGAGGGGCTGCGGCAGAAAGACTATAAATTTAAGCTTGTGCAACTTAATGAGATGGTCTCAAACTTAAAAACTTTTAGAAAGTGACAGGGGATCTAGCTCTATGTAAAGGCCCTGGGTTCTTCCCCAGTATTGGGGGTAAAAAGCAAAAGGGCAGCTGGATACAGTGTGCCAAGAATCCCAAATGTTCTTTTGTGTAGGAGCCTCAGTCCTGTGACTGACAGGGTAATGAAAATGCTCCTGGAGATGGCGAAGGATCAGAAGCCAAGAACATGAGCATGTGGGTTAAGATGCCGGCCAGTGCCCCCACCATGCCCTGGCTATGGGGCTCAAAGCCAGTGAGTGCCTGATGTCTTCCTGGGCACCTCTGGTGTTAGCTGGATGGACCTGGGTAAGGTTGGAACTTGAAGGCCCGGTTCCCTCATCTGCTGAACAGGGTTGCACAGGACACCCCGCTCCCCACAGCAATTCTGGCAAGCCCTTGCTGACACAAGGTGTTCAGCATAGGTCCGCCACAGGGGCTGACCTGTTTATAGCTGTGGAGGCCTTCTTCCCCGCCCCCTGAACAGATGGACAAACTTAAGACTTGAGACCCAGCAACACTGAGGCCTGTAGCACCGTGGTTCCCAACACCTGCCTCATGACTGTGGAGACAGAGGGTGCGGCCAGCAGTATAGACGACCAGGGCCTCTCATGGGCCCCCTCAACAGCAGGGCAGCCCAAAAGACCCCGTCCCTATTCCATTCTCCTGAGCTAGAAAGACACAGCCCTGCAGCTGCAGCCTGGTGTGCAGGGAGCAAGGGAAGGCTGGAATCTCCTGGTGTTGGGGCTCAGAGAGGGCTCAGGCTAGAGAGCTCCCTAAACAAAACCACACCTGTTGTCCTGGGGCCTGTGGGAGGGCAGTGCACTGCATAGAGGATGGGATCCAAATGACTTTTCCATGTCCCATTAAGGCAGCCAGGGCACTCTGATTTTCTCTCTTACTGTGAAACTGCTAGCCACCATCCAAAGAGGACCCCTTGCTTCTACATCTGTACATAGCAGGTTTCTATTTTCAGGGCTGCAAGTGGCACTCAGAAAGCCCATGGGGCTTACAAGGAACCTGAAGCTGAGCCTCCTCTCTTTAGGGGTGCCTGTCATCCTGGGGGTGTCATAAGCACCTCTTCTTTTCTGCTGGCCCTGGACCTTGCAGGCCATGCTGTCACCATGCTTAAGTCTATGTGTAGGAGAACACACCCAACTTCCACCCAACACCTGCTCCACCACAGTGGGACTTTGTGTCCACAAACGTCAACCCCTTGTGGAACTGGGAACCCCACCTTCACAGACAATTCCAGCAATCTTCCCTACTCCCACTTCTGCCTTGCTTGCTGGGAAGCCCAGTGGAACAAGTAATGCTGTGTGGGGCTGTCAGTGTCACCTCCCGCCTCTGGGTTGCCTTAGGGCCTTTGCCCCTGTGGTCACCTTTCCCCAGAGGCCCCGTCCTCATGATGACCACCTTGTACAGTGTGCTGCCACCATGTACAGTCATTCCATGTCCCTCCTGGACTGCATCACCTCTCCAGTCCACATCACACTCTGGAATGGGGCTGTCCCTGAACTGCCACCTTGCTCAAGCCTACCTCCCCTACTGCACACAGCGCTCACTCGGCAGCAGCAGTCCTGGCTGCCCACTACCAGCTCCAGCACACAGCCCATGTCTGGTAATGGTGGGCACCATCAGCTAACACGCCCACGGGGTGGGGGATGGTGGCAGCTGGCTCAGGCATGCCTTCAGAGTATAAATGTCCTGTAGGCCTGTGTGAGGTCAGAACCTTTCCCAGTTCTATTTTAATCGTTCTCTTTGTGAGACCCTCTGGGCCTTGGCAGAGGGGACAAATACAACAGAGGCTGTCCCAGTCTGCTGCTGGCCTGGCCACAGGGATAAGGGCCACCAGTGCAGGGGGCCATTTCTACCTGACTGCTTGCTGTACCCTCGACAGTGTCAACTCACAGGAAGGGTAGAGAGCAATGAGAAGAGGTGGGCAGGGCTGCAGGGCTGTAGGGCAGGGTGGGGAGGGGTCACAAGCAGGGAAGGAGGCAGAGGGCTCCTTGCTTAAGAGAGGGGAGGATCCTATTGCTCCTGGGGAGCCAGGGCCACAGCTAGGACCACTGCTTCTATAGGGACAAGAGGGCAGCCAGGCTGTGGGGCAGGTGCCGATGAGGGCGAGTTGAGCAGAGAAGCATGCTGTCTGTGGCCATGGGGAGGGGTCCTCAAGTCAGGCAGGGGCTGTGGGTAGCGTCAGAGCACAAGTTCTGGATCTGCACACTGCTGACATGCCCAGTGTCATCCTCCTGCTCATGACAGAATTCCTGCCAAAGGCCCACTGTGGGCTCTCACCATGAGGGCTCTGCTTCTGCAGATGCCACTTCCTCAGCAGGGACAGGATGCTCCCCTTACCCCTCAGTCCCAAGGCACTTCTTCTGGTCCTGTATGTGCCTACCTACGAGGGTCTGCACCATCCACCTCTCTAGCCACAGCCTTAGGGAAAAAGAGCCGCCCTCAATGAGCATCTCCCTCAAAACCCTAGAGCCACAGCCAGGGTAGACAGGAGCAGCAGCCTGGCCTCAGCTGCTCTGCATTCCCTTGGTGTCCTTTCAGCATCTGGGCTGTTTATGTGGTCCAGGGATATCCCTCCCTTACATGTCCCTGTGGCCTACCTGTCCTGGTGGGGTTGGACCCAGACCCCAGCCACAAGGGACAAGGAAAGCACTAAAGGTGCTGCTTGAGGATTCCACATGAGTGCCCTAGAGGGATGTCAATAGCTATGTGCCTTCTCTACCCCTTCACACATCTCAGGTGAGCCAGGCTGGGCCCAGCACTCTCCAGGGACACAGAAGGCAGATGCCCCGCATGGATACTGGGCTGGAGCCCTTTACCGACAGTGATGATGGTGATGGCTGAGCCACACCTCTGCTGTGAAGGTGGGAGGACACCCGAGTGGACAGGCCTGCCCCACACCTGCTCCCCCCCACTATGCCCTACCTACCTGCTTGTCCTGTAGGTCTGAGGAGAGCTCATAGCTCTCAGAGAGTGAACGTGAGCGCTTGATGGCGTCCTCCTCGGCCTGCTTGCGCAGGATGGAGGTCGAGTGCTGCAGCTTGGGCCTCCGTGCACGCTGCTGCCCCAGGGGCCCCGAGTACAGCCCATAGGCGCCCACGGACACGTGCTCGTAGTGGTCTGGGCTCAGGCTGGAGGCAGACACCAAAGGGCCCTGGTGGTAGGCTGACGGGCTGTCCAGGGACGTGGTGGTCTCGCTGCTAGGCACCTCACCCTCCACACTGCAGAGGAGAAAAAGGAAGACACTTCCTGTGAGTGGAAAACCAGAGCCTGGGGCACGGGGAGCTGGCAGGAGCCCATGGCACCTGTTTTCTCTGCTTCCTCCCTTGCCCTGAGACCGAGTCCCCCATGAACCTGGAAGATGGTACACACCTCTCCATGCTGGGCAGCACTCAGATCTAGTTTGCTCTGTAAAACTCACCACCCTCTACCATCTGCCATATTGGTCAGTTTTGCTTATTGCCAGTCTCATGCAAGAATATCAGCTCCCAGAGATTGGGGAGTAAGCCCATGGAGTGCTGATGAGACCCAGCGCTACAGCAGAGCCGGCCCATAGCAGGTGCTCAGTAAAGGCCAACTGGTGATCCTATCACCACTCCACTGCCTGGCTTAGACACGCACCGAATACTCTATCTGCAGAAGCCGTGTTCAGAGAGGGAAGCCAGACAGCATCATTAGGCGACATCTCTCTCCAACAGAGAGATCTGGATACGGCTGCTCACAGAGGGACGGCAGTGAGACACAGAGATAGGCTTCTCACAAAGCAAACAAGTCCACACCTTGATCTCGGCCCTCCAGCTTCCAGAACCAGGAGGTAAGAAATGTGTTGTCCAAGCCCCAATTTGCTATGGTAGGCCTGGAAATGAGAACACTGTTCAAACATTTCCTCTAAATATGAAAACTGGCCTGCAGAAGAACCACGAGCTCCCGTTGTGCTGTGATGAAAAGGGGAGCAACACTGAGGCCCCTCGCAGTGCCCAGGGGAACAGGGGCAGCTCGCCCGAGTCTCAGTCAAGTCCCAGTCAGTGAAGCCTGAAACCCCATGTTCTCCTCTGCTTGGTTGCCTCCATCCCCACCACCAGGATGACATCAAAGTAGGAGAGGGGCCAACTGGTAGGGACCGAGAGGATGGCAGGCTGACTCATCCAGAGCTGCCGCGAACTTGGAAGACTCTCCTGCGCAGGCATCAGTTTCCGCTGCAAATCACTTACTAGTTCGGAGTAAGGGCAGAAAGATTTCAATCAACAAGTTTCCGACGCCACTTTTTATCTCCTTGGCTGGTTCCCTGTCCCTGTGAGGTCGCTTGGCCTCAGGCTGAGGCACTAAAGACCCTCTGTCTGGATTAGGGTGAGGGCTCACTGGAAGTAACACAGTGGAGGAAGGGAACACAGGCACTGCCCCAACACCCCCTCTGTAGCCTGTGGGGACACCTGGCTCAACAGCTGCAGCCAAATGCCACCCCTGCCTGACTCCACTTCTGTCCTCACAATTCTGCAGGGCCTGGCACAATCAGCTGCCAAGCGTCAACCCCAGGAAGGAGGGACACTGGAGAGAGAAATCAGGGCCTGGCTCCGGAAGAAGTGCTGGAGCCAAGAGCCCCAAGTACTGTTACAGGGATGAGTACAAACCCCTGCCATTTACCTTCTAGCTGCCAGCATGAGGACAGACAGCAGGAAGGCCCACCATGTCCATGGGGCAGAGCACGACAGAGGCCCTTCCTCGGAGGTGAGGTTCTTGCCTGACACCACTTCTGGTAGTGAACTGAGTGAGTGGCCTTTCATTTCCAGGGCTGCTTCCCTCCCCACAGTACAATGCTGTGGATGTGTCCCAGGAGTACCAGGAAGTGCACACACATCATAAGAGCCACCGTGCCTCCCCGAGTCCCTCCTGCATCCCTTTGAGCTCAGTGTGTGGGAGGGATGGGACAGACCGTTGCTACAGTGCTGCAGAGTGGCCCACAGTAGCAACTGCTGTCACCTGACGGAGTGTGCATCCCCCACAGCAGACCCTTGCAGACAGACTAAGTCCTGGACAGGAGGGATGCAGCCAGGGCACAGATAAGAGGGGAACATCAGGCAGTCTCCCAACACTGGGTCAGCAGGAGTATAGAGTTAGGTAGGGCCTTCCCAGCTGTCCCTGCATCAGAACCTATGAGCCTCTGGGTGACCTGTGGGGGCCCCTGTAGGCAGTGGTGAGCTGGGTTCTGATGGCTAGAGGAGCTCAGGTGAAGGAAAACATCCCTTTGATGACTTCCAGGTCTCAGCCATTCCCCAGGCTTTCTGGCCTGAACAGTGGTGGGCAAGGGACAGGAACTGTGCCCCAGCTGGGAGGAAGGGCAAGAGCTGCCATGGTTCCCCGGGGTCCCCTGCTCAGGACAGACAAGCAGGTGGCCCAGAGCCTTTACAGCAAACCACATCTCCAGTCCTCTTACATTTTTTTTTTTTTTTTTTTTTTTTAATTTTCATTTGGCAGCACCAGGGCTTGACCCAGGGCCTTCACAATGAGTTAGTCAGTCACCAGGACCTCAACACTGTGTTAGTCACCAGGGCCTTCACACTGAGTTACATCACATCCTTTTCACATTTTGATTTGTTCCTTTTGTTTGCAGCACTGGGGATCAAATCCCAGACCCCCACACAGCACAATATTTCTAGTTCTTTCTTCTTTTTCTTAATATTTTGAGCAAGGGTCTCACTGAGTCTGTATGTTGCCTAGGTTAGACTTGAACTTAACTCAGCCTCATTTTTTTTTTTTTAAGCTAGGGTCTTCACTCCATTGCCCAGAACACGGGGAACTTGCAATCCTTCTCCTCAGCCTGGAAAGGTAATTTGTGAAAGTGAAAATGCTCCACACTGAGACACGCCCACACAGCAGTGGGCTGGGCTGCAGACAGCTGGGTGGAGTCTAAGCAGCACCTGTGACAGAGTGCCATTTAGCAAGTCATCACCCTGGGCTCTGGGGGACCCTAAGGCCCTGCCTCCTTCCTGATTAGATCTCAGCTCTCCTAATGTTTATTTCTTGGGGAAGGGAGAATTGTCCCATAAGATGGGGAGCAGTTGGACTTAGGGTGGTTCTTTCATATCCAGGAATGGGGTGGGGCATGTGCTTGGGTCCTCTCAGATTTCCTGACAGTTCACAACTTCTAGAATGTCCTTCAGCAGTCAGGCAGCTGTCGCCCACCTCTGAGAGGATGTCTGGGTTCGATAACTTCTTCCCAGAAATCTGCACCAAGGAAATCAGACCAGTGCACAAGGAGTTCAATACAAGGATTTTCACCTCAGTGTGGTCTTTTTTTTTTTTTTTTTTAATTGTCACAAAATTTTTAAAATGAATTGGCATTACTTTTGTTTTTACTGTGCTTTTTAAAATATTCTTTTTCCACCAGTGTGGTCTTACATAAGGAAAATTTGGAAATAATCAGAATGCCATTCAACAAGGGACCTACCTGAATCAATTCTACATCTAACAATGGAAGTCATGTCACACTGGTAGAGGCTCTAGTTTGACAGCTGTTCAGAGGAAAGACTTGGAGAATTTTTTGGTAAGCTTATGTGAGCTGAAGTCTCACTGCAGTTGAGGAGCCTGTCACTAAGCTGAATAAAATCCAGAGGCAAAAATAGCCCTGCTGCCTGAGACAGTTGTCAGATCGCAGCAGAACACAGTCTGGACCCCAGAGCCCGATGGGGACACAGGCCAGAGCCTTTGCCTGCCCCACCTCCTCCTGCTGCCCCTGGCAGATACTGCTAATTGATTGCAGGCTCCTTCCCGGCCCCTGCCAAGACAGCACTGTACCCAACCCACCCAACCCACTCTGGCTGGCACAGAGATGGGCTCTGCTTGCCAAACCCAAATAACAACATGCTTGAGATGAAGGCTTATAGTCTCCCACCAGGAGTTAGGTCTGCTGGGGAGAGAGGACAGCAGCCCCAGGTGGAGGTTATGGTCACTGGGGTCAGACCACTAGCAACGTAACAAACCAAGGCAGGAGCAAATTTTACCATCAGGCAAAACTGTGCCCCAAATTACCCCTGACACCAGGGAAGCTGATCAGGAGGGGGTGAGCTCTCTGTCACTAGATGTATACAAGGTACAGCAGGTTGTGTGGTACAAGTGACTCCAGTCCTAGCTGCAGGCCTCTGTCCTGGCAACACCTGGCTGGTCTTTGTCTCCAGGGCCCACCTCCTCTTTCCTCAGCTGCATACCTAGGGGGATACAGTATGCAGGCATACCTACCCCACTGCAGTATGGCTCTGGGGACAACTGCCCACTGGTCCTCAAAAGTCCTGACCTCCAGCACAGCTGAGTGGCCAAGGGTAGATCTGCTATTTCTTGTGGGATGAGCTCCTCATGCCCATGCTGGGGCTACTGGCAATGGCCAGGCCAGGGATGGGGCTGCATGGTGAGGCCTGGGGTGCCAATGGACATGGCCACCCTTTGCTCCAGGGTCCCATTCTAGGCATAACCAGCCTCTTCGTCTCCCCTGAGAGCCGCCAGCTTCCCTCCCTGGCCATGCTCCCCACACACGCCTTCCTCACTGTAGGCTCCTGTTGGGTAAGGCAGGCGTCACTAAAGAGCTGTGATACTGGCGTAGTGATACATGCACTCGGAAAGCTGAGGCAGGAAGATCATGGTGAGTCTGAGGCCAGCCTGAGCTGCATAGTGAGACCTGTCTCAGGGAAAAGGGGGGCATGACCAGAGTGTCCCTAGGGTGAGGGATGCTATGTACTAACAGATGACACACTTTGCAAAGGCTCCTCGCCCTGCCCCTGCCTTCTGCCAAACGAGGAGTCTAGATGGTCCTTGGGGGAACCAGACATGGGGGAGGGGTGGGGGACTCTGGTCCCACCACTACCAACTGTAGTGGGAAACTTCTGTGCCTGTTTCTACTCTTGGGAAATGCAGAGGAGTATGGGCGGTAAGTAGGGGAGCAACCTCACAGGATGTGTGTCAGGGTCACCAGAGCTGACAGAGTGATGTCCACATAAACAGAAAGTCCTTGCTAACAACTACCACTGGCTATTCTCTGACCAAGATGGCCTAGGAGGGGCCAATAGGCCCCGTGTTCTTCCTAAGCCAGCTGCCCTGCACTCTGCCCTGCACACCAGGCTGCAGCCTAACACTCCTACCTCCCCAAGGCCCAGACATCAGATGCCACATCCCGCCTGTCACTGGTATGAATCAGGGCAGGGTCGGGCTTGGCCTCTCGGCCAGCGATGTCTCT